CACCTCACCAACGGCCACGCCCACGCATCCACCAATAACCATCCCTACCACCTCACCAACGTCCACGCCCACGCCTTCACCGGCAACCACCTCTACCACCTCACCAACATCCACGCCCATGCCTTCACCAGTGACCACCTCTACCACCTCACCAACGTCCACGCCCATGCATCCACCAATAACCACCCCTTCAACCTCACCAACGTCCATGCCCACACCTTCACCAGCGACCACCTCTACCACCTCACCAACGTCCACGCCCACGCCTTCACCAGCGACCATCTCTACCACCTCACCAACGGCCACGCCCACGCATCCACCAATAACCACCCCTACAACCTCACCAACGTCCACGCCCATGCCTTCACCAGCGACCACCTCTACCACCTCACCAACGACCACCCCCACGCACCCACCAATAACCACCTCTACAACGTCACCAACGTCCACATCCACGCCTTCACTAGCGACCACGTCTACCACCTCACCAATGGCCACGCCCACGCGTCCACCAATAACCACCCCTACAACCTCACCAACGTCCACGCCCATGCCTTCACCAGCGACCACCTCTCCCACCTCACCAACGACCACCCCCACGCACCCACCAATAACCACCTCTACAACGTCACCAACGTCCACGTCCACGCCTTCACTAGCGACCACGTCTACCACCTCACCAACGGCCACGCCCACGCGTCCACCAATAACCACCCCTACAACCTCCCCAACGTCCACGCCCATGCCTTCACCATCGACCACGTCTACCACCTCACCAACGACCACCCCCACGCACCCACCAATAACCACCTCTACAACCTCACCAACGTCCACGCCCACGCCTTCACCAGCGACCAGCTCTACCACCTCTCCAACGGCAACGCCCACTCCTCCACCAATGACCACGTCTGTCACCTCACCAACGGCCACCTCTACCACCTCAGCAACAGTCACGCCTATTCCTACACCAACACCCACTATCGTCCCCACAGGTCGGATCTCCACAGCGCCTCCAGGTAAACAGACATCTGGTTCTTCCTCTCCCAGGAGCATCCACTCTCCTGCCAGGGAACTCTGGTCTGGGTGCCACCTTGTGCCATGGGCCCCTGCTCTGCCCAGTGAGGGCCGATTCCCAGGAATACTCATGGCAGTCTCTGGGTGCCTTCTCTTCCTGCTGAGCGCCATCACTCTGTGTTCAGGGAGCCACTGACCACCGGCCTGTGTGTGGATAGCAGAGCCCAAAGGCAGCCCCCTCAGCACACCACTCTGTGGTGCAGCCACGTGGACAAAACCCATCCCGTGGGGAGACCCCCAGTGTGTGGGGCCAGGCTGTGTGGGGCAGAGGCTGCCAGTGAGGTTCCCCGAGAGACCCTTGCTTCCCTTCCCACTTCTATCTGTGCCTCCCTACTCAGCACCTCTGGGACCTCTCTGGCCTGCCACAGGTGGCCTTACCAGGCAGCTGGTCCAGCCTCTCTGAGGTGGACTGTTATGCTGTGGCAAATCCCCCTCCAGCCACCTCTTGCTGGCAGTAGAGTTTGCCAGCAAGCTGTGTACTGCCTGGAGCACCAGCTCCCCCATGGGTCTCCTTGTCACACTTGCCATGTACTGTGACTGCAGCCCCGCAGCGCCACCTTCTTTGTGACTACCGGAGCCCGGGAAGTGGACATGAGGCCTTCCCACCTCACTGCTCACTCCCACTCCTGACCGCCTTCCTCACAGGCACGACCACCTCTTCCAAGACTCCCCCAAGCAGTGGGACCACACCTACCATGCCCGAGACCACCAGCACCTCGGCCTCCAGGGTGCCCACCCCCACGCTGAGCCCGCTTGTCTCTCCCAGCATCAGCATGAGCACAGGCCAGCGGCTCACCACCGTTAGTTTAGTCATATGCTGCGTCCTGAATGACACATACTACGGCCCAGGTAACATGCCGTGCACTTCTGAAGATGCTTAGGATCAGGGCTAAGGTCCAACTTGGCAGCTTGCTTGGGAAGCTGGATGCCGGGTGGGGGTGGACATCTCCGGGGCCAGCCCAGCTTGCTGGAAACATGAGTTGGGGACCAGGGTTCACCTGTGGTCCAGGGGCTAAGTGAGGTGGGGACGCCCACGTGCCCGAAATAGGGCATGGTGGGCTTCCCTCTGGGGGCCTCTGTGGGAACTTGCTTCTGGATGGTGTTGGGATGGGGTCTCTCCCTGGGCAGGTGAGCTGGTGTACAACGGAACATTTGGAGACACCTGCTATTACGTGAACTGCTCAGTGAACTGCACCTTCGAGTTCCACAACTCATCCTGCCCATCAACACCCTCCCCAACACCCAGCGCACCAACGCCCAGCTCGCCCTCCACACCGACACACATCTCTCCAGCCACCACCAAGCCCCCTGCATGCCCAGACTTTGATCCTCCCAGACAGGTCAGTGGGCCATGGTGGCTTTGTCCCCTCGGCACAAAGTGCATCCTGTCCAGGCGTTCAGGGACCAGGTGCCACCTTTCTGGTGGTCATCCAAGATGCTCCTCTTGCCGCACTCTGCGCCGTGTCCAGCAGGGCTGAGGCTTCCAACACCCTCCCAGGCGCAGTGTCTGCCGAGCCCTGCCCCTCTCTCTGTGCCCAAGCTTGCCATAGTGAGTGGCCAGTGAAGACAGGCCCTTCCCTCTGCCTCCCGGGCAGGACTCTGGGCACTCACGCCGAGGCCTCCTGAGCACGGCCCACCCCCTCCTTGCGGGCTGTGGTGTGGCGGGTCACACTGACCGCCCTTCACCCTCTGCCCACAGGAGAACGAGACCTGGTCGCTGTGTGACTGCATCATCGCCACTTGCAAGCACAACAACACCGTGGAGATCGAGGAGGTGAAGTGCGAGCCCCCGCCCATGCCCACCTGCTCCAACGACCTCAAGCCAGTGCAAGTCATGGACCCGGATGGCTGCTGCTGGCACTGGGAGTGTGACTGTACGTGCTGCGGCCACCCCCCTTCTCTGTGGGTGGGGGCGCAGGGCCGGCGTCTGGGGAGTGGAAGGGCTGAGACTCCACCGGCACAGCCCCAGTGGCCGAGTGCCAGCTGAGGCCCAGGAACAGTCCAAGGGACTTGTCATGCCACCTTGGACAGGGGGCTTGGGCAAGTGGAAGGCTTGCATGGTGGGGCAACAAGGGTGCTTCTGAGGCTGAGAGGGACAGGCTGGGTTGGAACCCTGGATCTCTGGCTCCTAAGCCAGGCCCCGTTCTACAGAATGGGCGCCACGAGCAGCACTGGATCCACCGAGCTCGTATGCGCCACGTGCCCGAGCCCAGGAGCAGGCTTTTCGGGACCCTGGTTCCTGTTGCTCTTCCAGCCTGTCCCGTGAATCCTGACAGAGTCCTGGTCCCTGCCCCCCACCCTGGCCTGGGGCTGTGACCAGCTCCGTGGTGCCAGCTCACCAAGCTCCTTCTGCAGGCTACTGCACTGGCTGGGGGGACCCACACTTCGTCACCTTCGATGGGCTCTACTACAGCTACCAGGGTAACTGCACCTATGTGCTGGTGGTTGGTGCCAGCTCACCAAGCTTCTTCTGCAGGCTACTGCACTGGCTGGGGGGACCCACACTTCGTCACCTTCGATGGGCTCTACTACAGCTACCAGGGTAACTGCACCTATGTGCTGGTGGAGGAGGTCACCCCCACCGTGGACAACTTTGGAGTCTATATTGACAACTACCACTGTGATGTCAACGACAAAGTGTCCTGTCCCCGCACAATCATCGTGCGCCATGAGACCCAGGAGGTGCTGATCAAGACCATGCACATGACGCCCATGGAGGTACAGGTACGCGAGGCTGCAGTCACCGGCGTCCTCGGTGGAGCATGCCGATGCGGGCCCTCTCACATGGTGGTTCCCCATGCGACAGAGGACTTGGAACTAGGGGCCCAAGTGCAGCCTCCCCCAGAGCCACGCTGGAAAAGTGGGAGAGGGCGGGAGCCTCACTCGGGGACACACCCTGTTCCCATGGGTTTTCCAAGTGTGTTCAGGGACATCCCTCTGAGCCCAGCCAGTCATGCCCCCTCCCTGAGGACAGGGGAAGGTGGGCAGGGGCTCTGCACATACCCAGCTGAGTCCTCCTCACCTGCATGGAGGCCTGGGGAGCCCTACCCCCTGCAGGGGGCTCCCAGGAGCACTTTCTCTGGTTTACCCTGGGACCAGCTGGGACAAGGGTCTGGCTTTGCACAATGGAAAGAAAGCAAAAATGGGGGTGGGGGAGGGGCAGGGGCATTGCCAGAGACCCCCCACTGCATGTGTAGGTCTAGCAGGTGGGGGAGGGGCGGCCCCAGGTGCTCTTCCACGATGGGGCTCAGGTGGCTTGGCCAGAAACACAGCGCTCCTGGAGAGGATGGGGCATGCCAGTGCAGGGCCAGCTCTAGCCAGGTGGCTGCCAGCTCCTCCCCGAAGGCTCTCCCTGACCCCAGGTGTATCGGCCACAGGTGCAGGTCAACAGCCAGACGGTGGCACTGCCCTACGAGAAGTATGGGCTGCAGGTGTACGAATCGGGCATCAACTACGTGGTGGACATCCCCGAGCTGGGCGCCCTCATCTCCTACAATGGCCTGTCCTTCTCCATCAGGCTGCCCTACCACCTGTTTGGCAACAACACCAAGGGCCAGTGTGGTGAGCCCTGCAGCCCCACCAGCACCTGCGCCCTGCCCCGGGGGGGTGGCTGGGCCAGGGCGGAGTGAGTGCCACCAGCCCAGCTGGGGGTCTCCTGCTCCTCTGCTTGGGGCCGCCTGTGGCGGTGGTCCCTGCAGGGAGCCAGTCAGAGGTGGCTTGGCCTAGTCTACGCCCTCGGCCCTGGTCTGCCAGATGCCAGGGGATCTGGGCTGGAGAGGGGAGGGATCTGAGGGGCTGCCCTGTGTGCTGGGTGACGTCGCCTGGTGCTGGTTCAGCGTGGCCCTTCTTGCGGAGGCAGGCACCTGCACCAACACCACTGTGGACGACTGCATGCTGCCCAGTGGGGAGGTCATCTCCAACTGCGAGGTCGCAGCTGACCAGTGGGTGGTGAACGACCCCTCCAAGCCACACTGTACATACAACAGTTTCACAACCCAGCGCCCTGTCCCCACGAAGCCAGGGAGCAACAAGACCTGCACCGAGTCTCTTCTCTGCCAGCTCATCAAGGACAGGTGACCCTGACCCTAGGCCTGCCTGTGGCCTTGGCCACTAGTGAGTTACAGGGCCTCAGGAAGCAGCCGCGATGCCCTCCCAGCCCCTACAAGGTCTACAAAGAGGCGGCGGCTCCTGTAGAGTGTGGCACTAGGAAGGCGGGAGGTCATGACACCACGGGCAGGTGCCAGGTGCCAAAGGGGCCCAGGAGCTGGGCTTCGGTATTCACAGGACCAAGCTGCCATGTTAGACTTCCCCGTGCCTTTTGTCTTTTTCTTTCTTTCTTTTTTTTTTTAAAGATGACCGGTAAGGGGATCTTAACCCTTGACTTGGCGTTGTCAGCACCACGCTCAGCCAGTGAGCGAACCGGCCATCCCTATATAGGGAGGTGCCAAAGGGGCCCAGGAGCTGGGCTTCGGTATTCACAGGACCAAGCTGCCATGTTAGACTTCCCCGTGCCTTTTGTCTTTTTCTTTCTTTCTTTTTTTTTTTAAAGATGACCGGTAAGGGGATCTTAACCCTTGACTTGGTGTTGTCAGCACCACGCTCTCCCGAGTGAGCCAAGGGCTGGCCCTCCCTGTGCCTTTTTTGACCCCCAAAACTCTCCCGCCTCTCAGGATGGTGCAGGGTCAGCTGAATTTGAGGCCCAGGGTAGACCAGTGGGCCCAAGACAGGGTGTGCACCCAGGGCTCATACTGGGAAGGCAGGTTTGGGCTTACATAGGGCAGTGGTGGGGGCTCTCCCAAAGCTGGGAGCCGCAGGGAGGGAGTGCCCGGTCCCCCAATGTGTGTGCGTCGAGTAGAAGCTGGGTGGCTCTCTACCAGGGCTTCTGGAAGGGATCCTGGCACCAGGTGGCCAGGTAGCCGAGCAGCTTCCATCTCTGGGAGCCACAACAGAGTGCCGCATGCTGGAGCCTCAGTGCCCAGCCTCCTTCCCCAAGGCCGGCCCTGCCCGCTACAGTCAGCTTCGGGCACTGTCTGGTGGTGCATGTGCTGGGGAGGGTGGGGGCGGCAGTGCTGAGCACCTCAGCGGAGTGTGACCATGACCCATCCCCACAGCCTGTTCGCCCAGTGCCATGCCCTCGTGCCCCCCCAGCGCTACTACGATGCCTGCGTGTTCGACAGCTGCTTCGTGCCCGACTCGGGCATGGAGTGTGCCAGTCTGCAGACCTACGCGGCCCTGTGTGCACAGCAGGGCATCTGCATCGACTGGAGGAAACACACCCAGGGGACCTGCTGTAAGTACCCTATCCCTGTCCCTGCCCTTGTGCTGGGAGCCTGTGGGCCAGGGCGTCTCCAGGCTCTGCCGGGGGGCTGGGCACTGTCACTCAAGGGCAACATGGGCCTGGCCCTCCTGACCTGGCCCTTCTGATTCCCACAGCTGTGACGTGCCCGTCTCACAGGGAGTACAAGGCCTGTGGCCCTGCACAGGAATCCACCTGCAAGTCCACGTACGTCACATTTGCTAGGACACGGGCTCGCCCCTCTGGGCATGCACCTGGGTGGCACTGTCTGGGCTTGGTGGTCCTGCAAGCCCACTCCCAGCTGATGATGCCCTTCTGTCCCCAGTTCCTCTCAGCAGAATAGCACGGGCCTGGTGGAGGGCTGCTTCTGTCCTGAGGGCACCATGAACTACGCCCCCGGCTTCGATGTGTGCGTGAAGACCTGCGGTATGTCCCCCTCTCGCGTGGCTCCCTCCTGCCTCCTCCTCGGGGACCACAGAGGCGGTGGCCACCTGCCGCACCAGGACTCTGCTAACAGGACGTGTCTTTTCCTCCTCCCCAGGCTGCGTGGGACCCGACAATGTGCCCAGAGAGGTGGGCCCTCCCGCTTGGTGCTGGGGAATGGGTGGGATGGAAACGAGGACTTGGGAGCCTCCAAGGTGGGGAAGTGAACCCTTGAAGTCCCGGAAGCCGAGCTAGCAGGGGCCTCCACCCACCCACCCGCCTGTCCGTCCATCCACGCCACCCACCCGTGGTCGCAAAATGATCTGCCTAAACTTGAGGTGACGTCTTGGCCACCAGAGCTGTCTGTGTCTCCTGCGTGAGGTCACAGCTATGGGTTGACTCCCTTGTTCCATGCTGCATGTGCCCAACAGACACCAGCAGTGCACCTCCCACATGCCCCTGTGCTGGCAGAGGCTGGTGCACTGGTCGTGGCTCTGTGATGTTAGCAACCTGGTGCCCTGAACGGGCAGCTGCTGTCCTGTGCCAGGACCTGCCCCAAGTGCTCGGAGGTGGGGGGCATGTGGCTGGCACGGGACCCCTCAGCGGGCTGCCAGCTGCAGATGCGCCACGGTGCAGCCCTGGCGAGGCCGGCGGCCAGCGCCTCTCCTCCCGGCTCAACTCCTCCTCCCTACAGTTCGGGGAGAGCTTTGAGTTCGACTGCAAGGACTGCACCTGCCTGGAGGGTGGAAGCGGCATCGTCTGCCAGACCAAGAATTGTGACCAGAAGTCCCTCACCCAGTGCGAGGAGGATGGCACCTACCTCGCCACGGAGGTCAATCCGGCCAATCCCTGCTGCAACATCACCTTGTGTAGTAAGTCCGCCCCCCCTGGAGGGACTGAGACTGGGCCCCTGGGGACCGCGTACCCTCCTCGGCGAGTGAGGGAACAGTGGCTGGGGGCCTGCTGGAGGCTGGGGGCTGAGATGTGCCCACCCGAGGGGGTGTTGCAGGCGGCTTCTGGCCCAGGGCCCGCATCCCTGCTGTAGGGGCCAGCCCGGGTGGGCGGGGGGTCCCACAGAAGCCCGGGGAGCCCAGCCCTGTGCAGCGGTCCTCACGGCTGCGTGTCACCCTGCCTTCAGAGTGCAACACCAGCCTGTGCAAGGCGGAGCCCCCTGTGTGCCCGCTGGGGTTCCAGGTGAAGAGCAAGATGGTGTCCGGAAGGTGCTGCCCCTTCTACTGGTGTGGTAAGAGGGGCCCGCAGTGGCAGGGCAGGAGGGGCGGCTGCAGTGAAATGGCTCCCTCCCAGGGGCGTCGGATTCAGGGGACACAGACAGCAGCAGGGCTGACACACCCGCCTCAGCCCCGAGTGACTGCCCTGTCTGTTGGGAGCCGTGCGGACAGGCGGGGCCACTGCTGCAGGACTGATGGCCCTTCTGTCCCTTTCTCCCAGAGCCTAAGGGCGTGTGTGTTCACGAGAACGCCGAGTACCAGGTGAGGCCTGGGCAGGGAGGGGCAGGTGGGTGAGGGGTTGGGGCTGGGGTGTGGGGGTCCCTGGCAGGCCTCTTGGGCTGGCTGGGTGCTGGGGAGGGCCCCGCGCCGAAGGTGGCCCCTCACCATCTCTCCCTGTGCCCGAAGCCCGGTTCTCCAGTTTACTCCTCCAAGTGCCAGGACTGCGTCTGCACCAGCGCCGTGAACAGCAGCACCATGCTCAGTGTCATCACCTGCACCCACGTGTCCTGCAATACCTCCTGTAGCCCCGTAAGCTGCCAGCCCCGCCCCTCACTCCTGCCTCAGTCTACCCTCTTCCCTTCTGTGAGAAAAGCTCACAGGCCCTGCATATGTACCCACGGAGTGTTGTCCTACCAGTTTCTTTCCTTTTTTCAACGACAATCTGTGTCCGTCCCCAACTCCCCACCTTGACACCCACCTGGCCTGAGCCTGCCCATGGCCCCATGTGCTCAGCCTGGGTGTGTCTGTGTCCTAGGGCTTTGAACTCATGGAGGTCCCTGGCGAGTGCTGCAAGAAGTGCGTGCAGACACATTGCATCATCAGCAGGCCGGGCAGTGAGCCCACCGTCCTCAAGGTGCACCAGCTCTCCACGGCCCCTGGGCCCCTGACACAGTGTGCCCACCAGAGCCCATGGCAAGGACTGAATGACTCTGGCTTCCCTGGCTGAATCCTCCCAGTCCCCGGCACAGCTGTGTCCCAGTTTCCTGGGGCTGCCATAACAACCACAGCTGGGTGGCTTAAAATAGCAGAAATTGCTTCTCCTGGTTCTGGAGGCCAGAAGTGCAGGATTAAGGTGTGCAGGGCCACACTCCCTGTGGAGGCTCCGGGGAGGACCCTCCCTGCGTCGTCCAGCCTCTCCGGGCTGCAGGCGGCCCCGGGCCTATGGCAGCTTTGCCCCACTCTGTCTCCATCTTCACGTGGCTTCTCCTCTGTGTCTGTGTCTCCTCTTCTGTCTCTTATAAGGACACTTGTCATTGGATTTAGTGCCCATCTACCCCAGCATGCTCTCATCTTGAGAGCCTTCAATTAATTACATCTGCAAAGACCCTTTGTCCAAATAAGGCCACATGCACGGGTTCAGGGAGTTAGAACGTGGTTATGCCTTTCTGGGTTGTATGGACTACAGGCTTGTGTCTGTCCCTGGGCCCTGCCCAGTGTCCTTTGCCCCATGGCTTTGGGCCCACAGGCCAGCCCTCCTGTCCCAGAAGCCACAGGTGCCAGGAGTTTCTGGTCTGTCCTTCTGGGTTGGCCTCTGGGGCGGGCCTGCCTACTGGCCCTCACCTGCACTCTCCCCTGCCCCACAGCCTGGGGACGTACAGAGCGACCCCACGAACAACTGCACGTTCTTCAGCTGTGTGAAAATCCACAACCAGCTCATCTCATCCGTCTCAAACATCAGCTGCCCTGACTTCGACCCCAGCACTTGCCTCCCGGTGAGCCGGCCATCTGGGGCACTGGCGCGTGTGCTCTGCTGGGAATGGGGGGTCCCCAGTGCTGGGATGGTGGCCTCTGGTCTGGTCTGCAGCTGCCCCGGGAGGCTTAGCCCTGGCCCTTCTGCAGGATCGACCCCTTCCCCAGCCCCGCAGCAGAATGGGGTTGCTCGCACACTGGGGGGCACCTGGGGGCCCCGGCTTATTCTTCTTTCCCTCCAGGGGTCCATCACATTCATGTCGAACGGGTGCTGCAGAACATGTGAGTGCAGTCTGCCAGCCAGTGGTGGGGTTGCTCGCACACTGGGGGGCACCTGGGGGCCCCGGCTTATTCTTCTTTCCCTCCAGGGCTCCATCACATTCATGTCGAACGGGTGCTGCAGAACATGTGAGTGCAGTCTGCCAGCCAGTGGCTCGCAGGGCCAGCCTGGCTGGGGGTGACTACCCAAGGGTCCCCTCAAGGAGAGGAAGGCACAGGGGGCTGGTGCCCCAGGAGCCCTGCTCCCCTCTGTGCCTCCCACGCTGTCCAGATGCTGAGTTTGAGGGTATCACCTGGGGTGCCCAGGAAGCCTGAGTCCCTTCCCAGGGAGAAGCAGGACAGAGCCCCAGCCACAGGGCAGCTGGGGACTGGTGCCTGCCTCCCGGAAGGTGGGGGGGGAGGGGAGAGCAAGCAGCGAGGGACAGCTGGTGTGGTCCCACAGAGGAGCTGAGGCCCCAGCCCTGAGCCTCTGCCTCCCTCTGCCCAGGCACCCCTCGCAACCAGACTAGAGTTCCCTGCTCCACCATCCCCGTCATCAGGGAAATTTCTCATGCTGGCTGCACCAAGAACGTCACCATGAATTATTGCTCAGGGTCCTGCGGGACTTTTGCCATGTGAGTCCCAGGCTGCGAGTGTGCCCTGGTGGGGGGCAGTGGAGCCCAGTATGGCTGCCGGGAGGCCCCAGAGACGTGGCTGCTCACTCCCAGCCCTTCCCGCCCAGGTACTCTGCCGAGGCCCAGTCTCTGGACCACAGATGCTCCTGCTGCAAAGAGGAGACAACCAGCCAGCGCGAGGTGTTCCTGAGCTGCCCCCACGGTGGCTTGCTGAACTACACCTACACCCACATCGAGAGCTGCCTGTGCCAGGACACTGTCTGCGAGCCCCAGTGGACCAACGAAGACACCTCCGTCCGTGCCCGGCGCTCCAGCCCCCGGCGTCTGGGGAGGGAGTGAGCGGGGTCGGCCCCACACTGCCCCCGCTTCCCCATCCTCCCGCTGACTCTTTGAGCTTCCTCACCTCCTAAGCTTGCTTTCCTCGCTGCAGATATTTATTTTCTGAGTCTGTTCAATCCTTTGCTTTCCAGTAATAAACTCAGGCAGAGACACCGCGCTGTTTGGTTTGAGTTAGTGCCTCAGGGATCTGGGTTGGCCACTGTGCACAGCCAAGGTCCAGCAGATTCCTGGGGGGTGGGGGTGGGGTGGGGTAGGTGGGGCAGAAAAGTTCAGAGAGGGTCCCTCAGCCCCCTCTGGGGTCCTGTCACCAGGCTCTGGACACAGGACGGGGGGATACTGCACATATGTGGTGGGCCTGACTTTGGTAAATACTGTGTACAAAGTGTGACCTCCAGTGGCTGCCTTCCCTTGAGCTGAGATAAAAATAGAATAATAAAAATGTTTAATTAAACAACAACAAAAGGCATATATTGAGAAAAAAAGGAGCAAAGAACCATGGAGCAAATAGAAAACAACTAACAAGATGGTAGATTTAAACCCAACTCTGTCAACCATGACGCTAAATGTATATGTATAGACAACTCAATGAAAAGACAGATCATCAGACTGGATTAAAAAAAAAAAAAGCCACAATTGACTCTGTGTCTACAAGAAGCCCACTGTAAATACTAAGACATACACAGGTGAAAAATGAAAGCATGGAAAAGACTTCCCACGCCGACACACATCAAGAGGAAGCTGGAATGGCTGCGTTCATGTCAGACAAGCTAGACTGGAGAGCAAGAAATATTAGCAAGGACAAAGAGGGACACTATACAGTAAGAAAGGAGTCAAGTCAAGAAGAAAATTAGTAATCCTAAATGGGTGTGCACCTAACAATCGAACTGTAATCTACGTGAAGCAAAAACTTATGGAAATGAAAGGAGAAAAGACAAATCCAAATATAGTTGGAAACCTCAACACTTTTCTCTCAGTAAGCAATAGAAGAAATAGAGAGAAAATCAGTAAGGACGAAGAAGACCTGAAAGAACATTATAAATCTACCTAACCCGATGGATATGGACAGAATGATCCACCTACAGTAGCAGGAAGACACATGCTTTTCCAGTGCACATGGAACACTCACAAAAATAGGGCCATATTCTGGTCATAAAGCCAAACCCAACAAAACTCAACTCAATCAAAATCATACAAAATACGTTAGCTAACCACAATGGAATTAAACTAAAAATCAACAACAGAGAGCTATGCGGAAAATCCCCAATTACTTGTACATTGGGACACACATTTCTAAATAACCTATAGATTGAAGAGGAAGCCATAAACAAAACTAGTAAATATTTTGAATAGATCAAAAATAAACACATCAAAAACACATCAAAATTTGTGGAATGCAGCCAAAGCATTTCATAGACATTGATAGCATTTGATTACTACTTTAGAAAAAAGGAAGGTCTCAAATAATGATCTAAACTTCTACCGTAATAATCCAGTAAAAGAAGAGCAAATAAAACATGACATAATTCATAAAGATATGAGTATAAATTTTTAAAATTCAAACTATAAAAAATTTGTATTTATTTATGCTGATTCCAAAACCAATGACAAGAAAAGCTAACTATAGCTTGATACCTCTCATGAATATAGAAAAATTCATAACAAAACATTGGCAAGTTGAATCCAACAATATACACAAAGGCTAATACATTAAGACCAAGTAAGGCTTACTCCAGGAATGCAAGGTTGGCTTAACACGTGAAAACCAGTCAATGTAATCCACTATGTTAATAAAATACAGGAGAAAAACAAATGATAATCTCATTACACGTGGGAGAAGGACTTGAAAAAAAATCACTCTTCATGATAAAATCTCTCAGCAAGCTAGAAATGAGGTAACATCTTCAACAAAATAAGGACATTTACAACTCTGCAGCTAACATCGCACTCAGTGGTAAAGGCCACTCTAAAATCAGAAACAACTTGGATGTCTGCTCTTAATGCTTCTATTTAACATTGTACTGAAGGATCTAGCCTGTGCAATAAGACAAGTAAAAGAAATGAGAGACATAAAGATCAGAAAGATGCAGAACTGTCTATATGTGCACACAGTATATTTATATATGTAGATAAACCTAAAGAACCTACAAAATATCTACTGGAAAGAATAAGTGACTTTAGTAATGTTGCAGTGAATAAGGTCAATATACAAAAACCAATTGCATTTGTATACAATAAAAATTAAAGAAACAACTCCACTTACAATACCATCAACAATAAAATACTCAGGAATAGATTTAACAAAAGTTGTGCAAGATATGTAAACTAAAAGCTGCAAAATATTACAAAGCAAAATTTAAAAAAACTTAAGGAAATGGAGACATATACCGTGTTCCTGGTTCAGAAGATTTAATGCTGGTAATATGACTGTCCTCCCTAAACTTATCTAATGACTCAATGCATTACCAATAAAACTACTAACAGGCCTTTTTGAAGAAACTGACAAACTGTCTTTAAAATTTATATGGAGGGCCGGCCCGGTGGCGCACTGGATAGTGCGCCGCTTGGGAAGCGCGGCGGCGCTCCCGCCCGAGGGTTCGGATCCCACATATGGACTGGTTCCCGCTCACTGGCTGAGCGAGGCACGGGAGCGACACCGAGGTTTGCAATCCCGTTGCCGGTCCCCAGTCCGGTACGGGGGCAACACTGAGGGTTGCGATCCGTTGCCGGACACGGAAAAAAGACAAAAGACAAAAAAAAAAAATTTATATGGAAATTCAAAAGACCTATTAGTACAGCCAAAACAATTGTGAAGAAGACAGACAAAGTTGGACTAATTCCTCAAAAAACACAAACTTGCAAAACTTATTCAAGATGAAATAGACAACTGGAACAGTCCTATAACCACCAAAGAAACTGAATTTGCAGTTACCACCTACTGAAAACAAAATCTTCAATTCCAGGGAATTTCAGTGCCCAGCTGCTGCAAGCCCTGCTGCTCCCAGTCCAGCTGTTGTGTCCCTGTGTGCTGCCAGTCCAGCTGCTGCAAGCCCTGCTGCTCCCAGTCCAGCTGTTGTGTCCCCATGTGTTCCCAGTCCAGCTGCCATGTCTCTGAGTTCTCCCAGTCCAGCTGCTGCAAGCCCTGCTACTCCCAGTCCAGCTGTTGTGTCCCTGTGTGCTGCCAGTCCAGCTGCTGCAAGCCCTGCTACTCCCAGTCCAGCTGTTGTGTCCCTGTGTGCTGCCAGTCCAGCTGCTGTGTCCCCATGTGCTGCCAGTGCATGATCTGAGGCTCTGGACCCAGGCCATCAGGTGTCTACTGCAGTTTCCCTGAATCAGCTCCTTCCACACGTCCTCCCTGAGGATCTACATTTTCCTACTTTTCATCCATGCACTATCTCCTTCCATGGCTCAGCTCTCTGTCTGCACCCTGTCTTTTTCCTCCTCACTCAGGAGAAGCATGTTTCCTGGATGCTGGAGAAGTATGTTTCCACGGACAGCGTGTCACGGAGAAACTTGAGCATGTCATCCTGAGGCAGCTTAGAAGCAGGTGCCCAGCTGAATGCCACGGTGGCCCTGACTTGGCTGTGGATCACCTCCTGCCTCTCCCTGGGCTGAATGAGATGCAAGGGCTGACCCCACAAGGCCAGGCTGATGTTTCTGAGTGATCAGTCGAGGATTGCTTGAACCAGCTTCTCAACTGTTGGGACCCTGGGTCCTCTTGGGTCACTCTCTAGTCCCCTATGACTCACCTCGCCAAGAGGCTTTCTTCTTTCCTGTTGCCTCCAACTTCATCTGTTTTATTTAGAAAAAGCAAAATAACAAATAAATTTCCTTTTAATAAAGCCTCCCATCTCTGTAAACCAATTGCATACTTTGGTGCAAATCTTTCTTTGCAGCCCCTTCCCTATATGGTAACTAACCCGCAGTCCCCCATATGTGTGCTTGGGATCTGTCAGCTCAGCTGGGAAATCCCTGCCAGAATGCCCGGCACACCCACAGAGAACCATGCCATTTACTTCTGTCTTCCCAGTGGCCACCATGTGTCTTCACTCTCTCTGCTTGCAGGATGAGAGGGCTTAGCCCAGGGAGGAGTCGGCACTTGGTGCCCATCACAGGAGGTCCTGTGTACTGACAACCAACCAGGCAGGACTCCCCTCTTCCCATTCTCCTCCCAGGTCCTTGCAAGGATGGAAGAATCCCAGAACAGGCCAAGGTCAGAGGAGGGAAGGAGTAAAATGCCAGACCCCCACCTCCCTCCCCACCGAGCCACTCACCCTCCTTTGATTCAATACAAAATCAGTGTTTTGTATTCAATACAAAATTGAATTATAAGCTGAACAGGCTTTTAATAAATAAACGTAACCAGAAAGCTACAGAACTACATGTGGCATCATTCACGGATTGGTGTGCCAGCGGGAAAGCAAAGATTAAGGTGGTGCACGTGGGGGACACTGAGCAAAGCAAAACTGTCCCGTGATGACGGGCCGCCAAGCGGAGACTACCCCCTGAACAGGGCAAGTAGGCGAGGTTCTAGAAATTGCACCATTTCTGGGGAGGAGAAGACAAACGTTATCTGAGGACATTCTCCAGCCAAATAAACACTAAATGAAAAGAGAAAAATACAATATGCAACAAACACTGGAGAGCAATGAATTCCAATAAAACATGTAGCAAAATCTCAATAACTGTTCGTAAAGCAGTAAGAAAAATGTTAATTTTGACGAGTTCCTGAGACAAAAGAGATACAATGCANCAGGCCACAGAACTACAAGAGACAAAGAGTATCACTTCAATACACCAAGAAGCGCTAACCATGTAAAATTTGTACATACACAATAAAATAGCCTCAAAATATATAAAGCAACATTTGAAAAACTACAGGGTGAAAAAGACAAAACCAAGATCATAGTGGAAGATTTTAAACATTCCTGTCTCAGTAATTTACACACAGACTAAAATTATCAGGGCAGATTTGGAGTATTTGAGCCTCACAATTAACAAACTGATCCAAAATGACCCACAAAGAGTATTGCACCACCAACTACAGAATACATATTCTCTTAAAGAACTCAAAGAACATTTACAGAAATTAACGAAGGCTGGCCATGAAGTGACTCAACAGAGCGCTGATGCCACACAGGGCATGCAGTATCTCTGCAACAGAAATAAGCCAGACACTAAGAAAAGTACCTGGAACAAACAAGTTAAAAAACAAAACAGCTTTGACCGATATAGCATCTTACTACGACCAGCAGCTTCGAAGAATGAGGTAAAAGTCGATGAAAATAAGCAAATTACACAAGATGTGTTTCTTCAAACTGTTAACAGCGGCTACTTCTTTCATACTGTACGAGGTGAGAAAGATAAAGGCAAGGTTTTTACTTTTTTCTTTATATATAGTTTTTACGTTTTATACTGAGAACATAGCTTACCTTTGCAGCTTTTTCATACTACAAAATTAACGTACGCATCTATAAAACATCCACGTATATATACTTATGCATCACATATGTGCCGAGAATTGCATAGACTATAACTCTGTTAATGAATCCTACACAGACATTGTTTTTATCAAACTTTTTCTCCGTCGTCATCATCTCCAATCCCATTATCTCCCACCCATAGGTGCCCATCCTTGTTCGTATCTTTCCAACCATCTTCCATAAGTTTATTTACATATGTGCTTAGAGACACGACAAATATGTATTTACCAGTGTATTTAACAGTGTGACTGTTATAAATCTTGCTCTGTTTCTCTCTTTTTTTTTTTTTTCTATTTATCTGTATGCTGCTAGGAGTGTTCTAATAGCTGATACTTTATCATGCCTTAATATCTGGCAGAGACCCTCTTCTGCATATTATTCGTAATTATCTCAGTTATTCACAAACTTCACACATAAATTTCATATCATGGGAAAAACTCCAAAATCAAATTCTTCTGGAACTAGAATTAAATCCATTGAATATATGCATTAATATGAGGAAAATTCTTTTTATAACGTTAAGACTTTCCATCCGTGAACATGGTATATTTCTCCATTTATTCAGTTCTTTCAGGTTCTTTTTATTTTTTTTTACAAACAATTTTTACATTTCCTCCAGTAAAACCAGACAAAGCAACTAGAGAGCAAAAGCAAAACTACACAGTTGAAACTTGCAACAAAACCAGGTGAACCCCAAAAGTACAAACAAATGGGGACAAAGGTCCAAGAGCCACTGTCCTCCACGGTATCAGTCTGTGCAGGAGAAAGCTAAGGGAGGCAGAGGGACTTCCAACAGACCGGAAACAGGAGAACCTCAAGATGGCCACAGGTACTCACTGGACAAGCACAGCAGGCATCCTGGACTCAGCACTGCAGCGGGGAGGCTGTCCTCACTCCAGTGGGGAGGGGTGCAAGGGCCCTTGTCAAGTCCCTGCAGGCGATGAAGGAACACAAGCAAGACAGGCCAGAGAACAGATGAACAGGTCAGCCTACTGTTTCCGAACAAGCTAATACACAACAGAAATAAATGGTACGAGACATAAGGCAGCCACAGAAATAGAAAAACTACTAGAAGAAGTGACAGCACTAAAGCGAAAATGAGAGACGGAAGAAAAAGTCATTTCAGAAATAAAAGCCTAAAATGGAAACAGCACAAGACCAAACAAGCACAAGTTTTAAAAGCCAAAAAAGAAATGAAGAGATAAAAAGGATTCAAGAGAAAATGACAAAACTTGAAAATAGGCAAAGAGGATCCAACATTAACACCTAGTAGGAGTCTTTCTTAGAGAAGAAACCTAGAAGAGCTGTGTATGACAGTCAAACTACTACAGGAAGAAAACAGAAAAAGAAAAAGTCATTAACCAAAAAAAAAAAAAAAAGTATATGTATATATCAGATGATGCAATAGAAAATACAAACTAACATGGTAGATGTAAACCCAAATATTTCAGTAATTATATAATAAACAAAATGCTCTAATTTAAATATAAAGATGGCCAGACTAGATTTTTTTAGAAAAATCCAAGTACATGCAAATTCAAAAGCTGCATTTAAAATATAAGAATACTAAAAGGCTAAAAACAAAAGGATGGAAAAAGATACAACGTGCACAGAAAGCTATACTAATCACAGGCACAACAGAAAGGCAGGCCACAGAACTACAAGAGACAAAGAGTATCACTTCAATACACCAAGAAGCGCTAACCATGTAAAATTTGCTTATCTAGTTTTGCTATTAAGGCTACATAAAACAAGCTAAGCAGCTTTCGTTCTTTTTTTATTATCTGGAATTAGGAATAACTTGTATACAGTAGGAGTTATGTGTTTCTTGAAATAACTCACCTGTAAAACCACATGGGTCTTGTATTTTGAAAGGCAGGAAGAATTTCAATGAACATTTCAATTCCTTTAATAGTTGTTAGTTATTCAATTTTTCTATTTCTTCTTGTATCACGTCTAAAATTTTGTGTTTTCCAGAAATATCCAGTACTCAGTGGTCATGGGTCAAGAGGCTTGTCTTTAGGACATATTTTTTAAATCTTGCAAATAAATAACAAAAAGACAACACCATCAAAAACAGGCCAATGATTTAGATACTTCACATACAAAAATATAGGAATGACCAATAAGCACATAAAAAATGCTCAATATCATTAGTCATCAGAGAAATTAAAACCATAAGATCTCACTAGACACCTATTGGGGTTACTAAAATTAAAAACAATCATAATACCAAATGTCATCAAGGATATGGAGCAATCAGAACTCTCATGTACTTTGAGTGGGTATGTCAAATGGCACAACCCACTGCAACAGTGGAAATTATAATCTGGCCATTCCACTCACAGATATTTACCCAAGAGAAATGAAAACAAATGTTTAGAAAGTCAGATGTTCATAGTGATTTTATTCTTAAGAAAAGAAATGAAAACCACCTGAATGTCCATCAAGAGGTAAATGAAGAAATGCACTGCGGGACAGTCACACAATGGAATGCTATTCAGTAATACAAAGTAACAGATTACATGCACCAACACGAATTCATCTCAAAATGACTATGCTGAGTGAAATGGTCGACACACAAAAGAATTCATACTATATGGTTTCATTTATATAAATTATAGGAAATTCAAGGTAATCTATAATGACAGAAAGCCAACCAACAGAGCCAGTGGCAGAGGGAGCAAAGAATTGCAAAGAGGCTTAAGCAAACTGTGAGGGCTGGTGAAAATCACCCATGCCTTGTTGACACTGCTGGCTTCACAGAGACATACATTTGCTGAAACTCATCCGATTGTACACTTCAAATAGGCACAGTTTATTGTATGTAAATGATATCTCAGTAAAGCTGATAAAAGATAAATGTTAAGATGCAGAAGGATAGTGAGAAGACTGAATGCTCAGAACTGCAGAAACAAAAACAAATGCAGTGACAGATATAAGGGTAAATTTAAATGAACATTGACTAAAACAACAATAATGTCTTGTGGGGTTTAACAATAGACAGACATACAGATAGATGTGAATGAATAATAATTTTTAATACATTACAATGAAATCACATTTGAAGGGTAAATGGAGATAAAGAGTTCTATGAATTGTATAATACAGTACAATGATATTGGTAATATTTTGACTTATTAAGAATTTGATGAATGCATGATATCAACATTAAGGTAAGAGAAGCAGCCTTAATAGTTTCCAAATGAATAGATGGAAAAAATGAAATGATCAAAAATATTTAATCCAAATAAAGCAGCAAAAGGTAAGAAAAAAAACACAGAACTGAACAACTATAAGCATAAAATAAGATGGACATTTAAACCTAAGCACATCAGTAATAACGTTCATAAATGTTATTTTTAGTACGTTAGTTAAAAAACACAGATTGTCAGATGGTAATAAAATCCATGTACGTGCATCTTATAAGAGGTCCACTTAAAACATAAAAACATAGAAAAGTTAAAGGTAAAAGCATTAAAAAATATATACCGTGCAAATATTAACCAAAAGAAAGCTGGTACAGCCATGTTAATAACAAAGTAGATGTCAAGGCAAAAAGTATTGCTAGAGATTAAGAGGGTCACTTCATCCTGATTAAAAAAACTCCAAAAGATAGCACTTCTAAACTTGTATGCTACTAATAACACGGCCTCAAACATATGAAGCAAAAGTTGACAGAACTACTAGGAAAAATATGCAAATCCACAATCAGAGAGAGGGACTGGGAAACACCCCCTTCAGCAGGTGACAGAGCAAGCACCCAGAGAGTCAGTGAGGGGAAGAAAACTCCATGTCTGCTAACTTGGCCCATCAGCAGATAGGGAGAGCCATATGCATCTGCTGGAGAAAACTTTTTTTTTCAAGTACCCGTCGTAGGATACTTGAACATCGACAAACCTGGCCATTCACCAGGCCAAAAAGCAAGTGTCAATACATTCCAACAGGTGCAACTGGGCACGCAGCCATACATTTGATCTCCCTGGGACAAAAAGGAAGGTCTCAGTAAATTCCCAAGGACTCCAATTGTGCAGAATATATCTGACCTCCCTGCAATTATGCCTGAAATCACTAAAAATTTTGTACCTAGAAAGTACTCTCATACATTTAGAAATCAGGAAATGCACTGGTAAATAACCCACGGGTCAAAAATAATGAATGGAAATGAGAAAATGTTTTTAGCTAAAGCATACTCAAAACACGACGTGTGAAAACCGGACGTGGAGGAACTGTTAGACATTTACACGTGTAGATGAGAAGACTGAACACAAAGGGACTAATCATCATCTGAAGGAGGCGGAAAAACCCAGAAAAATAAACACCCAAACCAGGAAAAAGGAAATAAGAGCAGAATTAATGAAGTAAAAGCATACCTTCGTATAACTTCGTATAATGTATGCTATACGAAGTTATGCTTTTACTTCATTAATTCTGCTCTTATTTCCTTTTTCCTGGTTTGGGTGTTTATTTTTCTGGGTTTTTCCGCCTCCTTCAGATGATGATTAGTCCCTTTGTGTTCAGTCTTCTCATCTACACGTGTAAATGTCTAACAGTTCCTCCACGTCCGGTTTTCACACGTCGTGTTTTGAGTATGCTTTAGCTAAAAACATTTTCTCATTTCCATTCATTATTTTTGACCCGTGGGTTATTTACCAGTGCATTTCCTGATTTCTAAATGTATGAGAGTACTTTCTAGGTACAAAATTTTTAGTGATTTCAGGCATAATTGCAGGGAGGTCAGATATATTCTGCACAATTGGAGTCCTTGGGAATTTACTGAGACCTCTCACTGGAGGGTTCTGGGAAAGTTAACCACTTCGGGGCTTCTCACTGCTCAGAAGAGATGGGCTTTGAGTAATCCTTTGCGGCTCTGTCACCCAGAGGAAGTCGGGTGACAAATCCATGAGGGGCAAAGCAACATTGTTAAACTGTACTTTAAAAAAAAAAAACCACCTATGTTATTTTCCTGTAACTTCCTGGTCTGGAGAATAAATGCAGGAAGAGAACCCCAATTCGTGGTTAATTTCGCAAATGGAAGGAATGCCTCGATCTTGTGGGTTCTGGAAGATTAACCCCTTTTTGGGGTTTCTCACTGCTCAGAAGAGATGGGCTTTGAGTAATCTTTGGTGGCTCCGTCACCCAGAGGAAGTCGGGTGACAAATCCATGAGGGGCAAAGCAACATTGTTAAACTGTACTTTAAAAAAAAAAAACCACCTATGTTATTTTCCTGTAACTTCCTGGTCTGGAGAATAAATGCAGGAAGAGAACCCCAATTCGTGGTTAATTTCGCAAATGGAAGGAATGCCTCGATCTTGTGGGTTCTGGAAGATTAACCCCTTTTTGGGGTTTCTCACTGCTCAGAAGAGATGGGCTTTGAGTAATCTTTGGTGGCTCCGTCACCCAGGGGAAGAGGGGTGACAAATCCATGGGAGGCAAAGCAACAAATGGTGACCCCGATGTGATAAATTCTGGGTCCACAGATCAGAGACCAACCTGCTAAGCCTTGGAAAGGAAAAGAAAGAGTACGTCCACCACTCATCCTGACAAAAGGAAGGTCCCGACAAAAGGGAGGGCCCAACAAAGTGGGGAAAAGAGGACGTCTGCCACTCATCCCGACTAAGGGCAGGCCCCGACAAAAGGGGGGGGGAGACGCCCAGAAAAAGGAAGAGGACGTCTGCTCATCCCATCAAGAGAGAAATCCTGGTAAGGGGGACTCACCCCAGTAAAGGGGATCACAGAGGTGGCTTTCGATTAAGTGACTGCACGCCTGCTGCAGTGTCTAGCTAGAGCTTCACCTGGAAGTTTTGCTTTCTTACTCTCAATTTTTCTATCTATTCTTGCGATTATGGGTAGTTTACTGTCTAAGAGGGAAGTTCAACATAGTTCAGTCCTTCTATGTCTCCTTAGGAAGTAGATTATAAAGTAACTAACTGTCATCTAACTAAATTATTACTGATTATAGTGGTTTGGAAATTTTGTCGAATTGCTTTAAAAATTATTCAGAACCTTAACAAAAGGAAAAAAACATGTTTATGACATTAAAGAGGATGAAAAACAATCCTCACCTCCTCCTCCTCCTCTCCCCCACCTCCACCTTTGGGGGCAAGCAATTCATTAGTTCCCTTGATGGAGTCCTTTCTTAAAGAAGGACATAACATGGGAGTTGATGCTCATCATGTCTTTCCTGTTGTAAGAACTGGGACTCATTTGAGACATGAAAACCTCCCATTCTCCTTGTTTGAAAGATTTAAAAAGAGCATAACAGAAAATTGCTTACATATTACTTTTACTAAGGAATACTTAGAATCAATTGCTAATGGGTATAATATGACCACTTAGGATTGGAAAACACTTGGAAAAACTGTTTTAACTCCTGCTCAATATACTGTTTGGCTACAAGAATATCAGGAAGCCTTACATGTTATTTCACTCAAAAATTTACGAAATGTGGGCCGGCCCGGTGGCGCACGGGACAGTGCGCGGCTTGGGAAGCGCGGCGTCGCTCCCGCCTGAGGGTTCGGATCCCACATACAGACCGGTTCCCGCTCACTGGCTGAGCGAGGCGCGGGAGCAACACCAAGGGTTGCAGTCCCGTTGCCGGTCCCGGGTCCGGTACGGGGGCAACACTGAGGGTTGCGATCCGTTGCCGGACACGAAAAAAGACAAAAAAAAAAAAAAAAAAAAATTTACGAAATGAGGCTCAAATTAGCATGGACACGTTACTTGATCAAACAACTAGAGTGGCCATAAAGGTTTGGAACAAAATTCCTGAAACAAAATCTAAACTTCAACCTCTTGCTTCCCCTGATGCGTTCTGGATACAAAGATTAGATAACACTCAGCCACTGTTGACATTATCTGCTGAACAAAAATTAATTACAGATTTGGGGTCTGATCTTACCATAATTGCTAAAAAGGATTGGACTCCATTACGGAAAATAACTTCTTCACCAGTTACACTTACCAGATTAGGTGGGTTCAAAATTCCTTATCAAAGTAAAACTCCTTTGTTGTGTACTGGCCCCAAGGGACAAACTA